TTTCAGACTGCTGGCCTTGAGACTCGCAGCTCAGTGTGTAACCATGGTGGCCCCATACCAAATAGTGAGGCTTGCTATCGCGCCAGAACAGAGCCCTGGTGTGCAGGGTTAAGCACTGGCTGCTCACAGGAAAGTTGGTGGTTTGAAGCGCAGTCGCTCTCTGGGGGACAAAGATGTGGCTTTCTGCTTCTCAAAAGCAGATGGCCTTAGGACCCCATGAGGCAGTTCCATGCTGTGCTCGGTTGGGTCGGTTGAAAAGGACTCAGTGGTGGTCAGTATTTATAGCTACAACAATCATGACAATGTGGTATTGGCCGAGGCATAGACTCCCAGATCGAAAGAACAGAATAGAGAATCCAGAAATACACCCACGCGCATATGCCCAGTGGTACTTTGACAAAGGTACAAAAGTAATTCAGCGGAGAAAGGACAGATTTCCGACAAGTGGAGCTGGCACAGTTGGACATCTGTGGGCAATAATATAAACATCAACCTCACCTCGTGCCTGATGCAACAATGAGCTCAATGTGGAGCACAGACCTAAGTAGAAGATATGAAAATATTTAACTGAAAAGCAAGAGGGGAAATCTTCAGGATCTGAGTCTCAAAAACTCTCATACTTGAGCTTCAAAGCACCATCCGTGGAAGGAAAAACAAATGAAATGGACCAGATTAAAATGAACAGAAAATGGGCCAAAGACATAAACAGACTGATCACAGAAGAGGCTATACAAATGGTAAATAAGCATAGGAAAGAGGATCAGGATCATTAGCCACTAGGGATAACGGAGAATTAAAATCCCAAACCAGCACTACACACAAAGAACCTAAAAGTGAACATGCTGGTGTTAGTTGCTGTAGAGCTGATTCTGACTCAGGGCAAACCTATAGCCACTCCATAGGTCAAGGTAGAACTGTCCCAGGCGGCCTTCCAGGCTGTAATTGTTACAGGAGTAGATCGCTGAGGTTTTTTTCCTCTTCAGAGCCTCTCGGTGGATTTGAACTGCCAGTCTTTCTTAGCAGCTGAGAGACTAACCATTGCACCAACGGGGCTCTTAAAAACAGGGACAGCGAATGCTGGCTAGACTGTTGAGAAACAGGATCACTCCTAGACTACTACTGGTGGACGTGGAAAATGGCAAACAGTTTGGAAACCTCTTGTAAGATTAAATACGCAACTACTATACAAGCCCTAAGGATTTCTTCTCTGCAAAGAGTTACAGTCTCAGAAACCTACAGGGGCAGTTCCACCCTATCCTGCAGGGTCCTGGGAGTCAGAACTGACTTGGTGGCAGTGAGCTTGGTTTAGGATTCAACCCGCAACAATATTCTTGAGCATGCATTCCAGAGAAAGGAAATCTTATGTACATGCAAAGATCCATTCATGAATGGTAATAGCAGCTTGATTAGTATTAGCCCAAACTTGAATCAGCCAAGATGTCCTTCAAAAGGTGAATGGTTAAGCTATGGTACATCATACTGTGGAATACTACCCAGCTGTAAAAAAGGAGAAGACTATTGATACGTGTGTGTGTGTGTGTGTGTGTGTGTGTGTGTGTGTTTACATGCTGGAATTATGTTAAATGGACAAAAAATAATCCGATCCCAAAGATTACACACTGCATGGTTTTATTTATAACAAAGTTATTGACATAAAAGATGGATTAGTGGTTTCCAGGAGTTAAGGATGTGACGATGGGGAGGGCCAGCTTCTGGGATCATTGTAGTCCTGGATTTGTTCAATATCTTGACTCTGGCAGTAGAAACACAAGCCTACATTGGTGGTAAAGTTGTATAGAAGATACTGTATATACTTTAGTATAAGCCGAGTTTTTCAGCACATTTTTTTAAATCATTTTATTAGGGGCTCATACAACTC